CCATATCAAGTCAAACAAAAATTGGATCATCTATGTACCGTTCACATATGTACTGTTTACACTACGATACAGTTCATTGATATTCTTATAATTATTATTCCAAATCACGAACCTCAGAGAATAGATAGAAGAAATTCCTTATTAGGACAGATTCACGTTTAAAACCGCAATCAGTTCCTGAGATAAAAGAACCAGACGAACGACTCATAGTTGGTCACTGTTACATAATCTTTGAAAAATAGCTGATTGCCTCACCTAGAAACCCTTTGTCTTTGTCGCTGACACCTGTTTACATTTACAAAGATACAACATTATCTACGGTAGCAGATAAGAATGTCGAGACCAAAAACAATTTCAAGAAAATCAGTTTTCATCAAATATGTTTTCCGATTAATCATACCTATATGATAGGTATATATATATATATCATGATAGCATTACATCATTTTTTTCTTTATGTAAAAAGGCTAAATATGGGTTGGGAACTAAACGTTTACATAATTACATGAAATTCAAATATTTCATACCCAAGTTTTTTCTTTTTATACTCAACTTTAAATTACACCAAAACGCAGTATAGTCGGATAACGAACGTTAGAAGAGTTTCTATTTTTAACTAGAAACATGGGATAACAATTGAGATGAGGAGAAAGGGGAAAATAATTTGCGGAGTTTTCCCGGACCAGGGAGTGGGGGCGGGGGATTAATGCCAGAATTAAAAGCCCCCTCCCCTCCCCCTCGGGCACTAGGGACGCGAACTTGAAATTATTTCATATATTTGTCTTCTATCGCGTTAGCTTGCTTGGCTACCCCGCTCCCCAGAGATATGTAAGAACCATAGACGGTAATGATTGATGATTAAATTAATGAATAAGGTAAAACAAAATATAAGGTTATCTGCAAAAACAGTGACAATTTCGGTGATATCGATATGGAAGGATCCATATAAGTAGAATTCCACTATATTTAGTAATTTTGTAATTAGTAAAAACTAAATAAATGGTTTGTTGAAAAATAAAACACTTACAACTTAAATCAATACCTACTTGTTTTCTAGACACCTGAGTCCGTTTCGAGTTCATTTATTCTTCGCTGAGACGTTTTGTCCCGCTGGCGTGGATGCATTTAGATACCGTATCGGAGAAAAATACTATAAAGCAAATGTGAAAAGCAAACAACCCACGGAAAATTGCTTCCCTCTGAAATCGACCGACGATGTCGCGATGTCCCCTAATGGAAATGAAGATAAGGGCCGACAATGGAAAATGCTAGAACATCTGTTTCCAGGATTGATTCTCAATTTACCTGGTCGGTGTCGCTGTCTTGTTTTAGAATAAAAAGTCCTACAGTTTCCTCTGTTGCGCCATTTCGCTTGTACTACACTTTATCAACTTCGAATTAAAAACAGGTATTATTTTTTGATTAGTTTTTTCATTGTGTGCAGCTGCGTCTCTATTGTCTTTAATCATGACGCACTGGACAAATGTAACATTGCAAACCTATGGAGGGTCTAGGGTTCAATAATATCTAAGCCAACAAAACATTCAACGATTTTTCGACAAATTCAAATCCATATAGTCCAGATAATGAATACTCGAAAAGGAGGTATTGCAGGACATGGCGAGGACACAATTTTTGAATTTGAGGCATTGTTCTAGTAAGGAGATGAACATTCTAAAAGCCACCACTTCTAGGAAGTGAGCCAGATGTGGATGTCCATCTAGAAGGTTACTTTTTTCGCTTCTATCAGGAAAACTATCTATTGCATCGACAAAGACGTTCCGTAGAAAATTAAAGCTTATGCACCTTTTTTCGCTACCTTGCTTAGTTTCCGAGACATCCGTCCACAACTGTTTAGGGGACACATCAAACTTGCAATTTAAATTAAATCAAGAAACACATCACAGCTGTTATCTGGAGCATACTGCATATATACCTCAGATGTTATTGCGACGCCGCCATTACTGAATCGTAGACGCTCACGTAGCGTGACAGATTAACGAGACTGGCCAGTTTGAATATTCGTAATTCCACTGCTTTGATGAATATGGAGTAAAAAGCTAAATCGGCCGGCAAGGGGCCAAGAAAGGAAGGGAGAGAAGATGAACAGGAAGACTGGCAAATAGAAGAAAAGAGAAAATGCAAGTATCCCAACCCAACTATATTTAAACTCCGTATAAAACTACGTGTAATAAAATAAAGCAATCTATTTTACATATTCACTTCTTTAATCCATTAACTCCTCTGATTTTACAGTCCACAGCAATAAATTATCACCAGCTCTTAAAGCAGAATTATTATGACAATATCCCTGACAGCCTTGGAAGGGATTGGCAAAGTAAAATAAACAACAACTATCGGTAATTTGGAAAAACAAAAATTGTAACTCGCGTTTTTTACTGTATTTGACTAGCTAACTGTAGCTCCCCCCCCCCCCCAACATCTGGCTCACCACTTAGGAGTGGGAACTTTAAGTATGTTTATCTCCTGGCTAGTCCAATGTTCTTTAGTGAAAAATTGTAATACCGACATTTCCTTCTATACTCATTCATTGAGTAATTTTTTTTTTTCATAAATATACCCTAGACAAAAAAATTGGATTTTAAAATATTTTGGAACTTAATTTTTTTTTTTAGACACCCAACGCCTGTCATTATGAACTACGACAATTACATCACCACCTGGAGCGAATGGAATGTTAAGTACATATAGTTCCAAATAAAAAACATGGATATGATAAACAACAGAAGTGAATTGGACTCTGTAAAATATTAAAATGACATGTCATATTATAAAATTTATTTCCTAAAGGGCTTCCAATCATCAATCCTTCCAACTCTGATCATCAATAAGGTCCGAAGACAATCCCTGCCGTGACAAAAGAGGACTATACAATGAAATGGACCGCTGTTGAGGGAATGGCTATCTCGAGAAATCTAGCCTATTAAAATGACAATAGAAGCTTAGGATAGGTTTTTGGTCCGAAGGCTGAATCTGAAAATTCCCGAGGCCCCGGTTTGGGGATGAAAGCTTGCTAATTGATTCCCTCCTTTAGCCGGGCTATCTGATCTCACCCCCACTTTAGCATATAAATAGCATATTAAACGGGCCCCTCCTCCCACCTCCACCGAGCTCATCTCTCATAAATCCAATACACGCCTTTTATTTTTTACCACCTCCTTTTCTAACACAATTCCAATTTTCAGGTTTCGCTGACACCTTATCCGTCACTTCAAACACCTGTATTCATCATTGGAACAGAAGTTTTATCCACATATGAATGAAAAAGAATAGGATGAAATGGTTATAATATATTTGAAGAAGTGGAGGTGGTTGTTTTATTTAGGGATTTGGAACATTTTTGATAAACAGATATCAACTATGAATGAACAATAAGATTGTGGTATTAAGAAGAGCAAAACAACTCAATATAATTCATAGTTAAGAAGTAATTAGATAAATAAATCATTAAATTCTAAAACGGAGGGAAACAATAAAAACGTCACCTCAATAATCATAATTATCGGGAAAGAATCAACCAAGATTACACACAGTTAGTGTTGCCCAAATGCGAGACCGAGTCTTGGTCTTGCAAACTCAGTCTTGGGCATGGTCTTGGTCTTGCGCAAGAGTCTCGCAACAGTATTGCAGTAACACATTAGCTTATTACTATAGAGATATTACTGTAATTTTTTAGATAATAGAAACCTAACTAAGTCCGAATGAAAATCAAGAGGAGTTAAATGCAAAAGTATATTGGTTATACCAATTATTAACATATAGCAACCAAGATAGTCAAGTCTAAGCAATTATTTTGCATTATGTTTTATTAAAAACAACAATTTTTTTACCAGTCCTTGGTTTTGGTCTTGCAACAGTTAGGTGGGCTTGGTCCGATTTTGGACAACACTTCACACAGTACAGAGATAGTCTGCGTTGGATGTCTTGGAGGGAACTATTTCTAGTTGATGGGTATTTTTTAACTCCTAATATGAGATATGGTCACTAGCAGATCTACAGAGGGGGAGGGGGCTTTTGGGCAAAGCTCCCCCAAAATAGATTTATTTTTACATAGGTCCATATTTATTATTGTGAGTTATCAGAGCTAAATATTTAATAAGCTCCTGCAAAGAAAAAAAATTTTTTTTCAATATTTAATATAGCTGAGCTATCCGTTATTAATATAGTTGACCGTTTTATTAATAAGGAAGAAGATGGTCCGGTGTGGCGGTCATAAATATACTAAATAGTGACAAAACTATTTTATTAAAAGCCAACGTTTCGACCCGACTTTTCAGGTCTTCTTCAGGGCTAGAACGGAAAAGATACAAAAGAAGATCTGAAAAGTCGGGTCGAAACGTTGGCTTTTAATAAAATAGTTTTGCCTTTATGTAGTCTATTTATGATCGCCACGCCGGACCATCTCCTTCCTTAAAATTGTTTTTTTTTTTTTTAATCCCTTGAGCAATATTTATTGTTCATGTCATTAGCTCTTTTTTAACAAACCTCAATCAAATATTCAGAACGAAGTCATAGAGTACTTAAACACCATCAGTGCCCAAACCACGCCCTGAAGATGACCCACATGTTTGGGTTGAAACGTTGGCATAAATAAAAAATTTAATTTTTTTTAAAAAGAAGACTGCTTCCTGAATATTTATCACCCATGATATATAAAACAGTCGATTAACTTCCTTCAATATTTCATTAGGGTAGCTGTCTATGCATCCAAGTTGTGACGTAAAAACGACTGCTATAGGCAAACGGTAAAATTGGAATTTTATGAATAGTGCAATTTAGCCTTTTTATGGGTCCGATGATGTCTTTTACAAGAATGCAATGCACACATTGGCATAGCAACGTGGAGTACAATCACGCGAATTTAACAACAGGGTGCTTTTGTGGTTTATCCAAAATACTGTATGTTCCTCATCGGCATAAATCCTTCGGGAGATAATTTCAAGCTTGCATAAACATAAAGAGGAAAAACATACACCGACGCATTCATCCTTCACACCATCCAGTGTTTTTTTCTTGTTTTGTTTTTTTACGACCAATCCCAACTTCCCGTGACTTAGCAATCTCAATAGCAATAACCGAACGGGTACAGCGTTATATGGGGACGATCCCATCCACCAGACTTCATCAAATATTCTGCGGGGCACCTCGCTTCCGACGCTTCAACCTTTGTTCCATTCCTTTGAGTGGAAGGGAAATATTTCACATCCATAAAGAACAGCAGGGAGAGGAAAGAAATTTTAAGGACTCGGGCATGTTTGATGAAAGTTACATCGAAACGTGACTTGCTTCGTATGCTTTGTTTTAACATTTATCTATAATCAGATTTAATAAAGCGAAAATTAAATATGATCCGTAAGAAAAACTTTATATTATATACAACATATTAAAACATCATTATTGTATGATTTGATAACATTTTTAACTAATCACGGCTAATTATCACTAACAAAATATATTTTATTGAAGGGAGCTACTCGACTGTTCTGCGTATCATGGGTGATAAATATTCAGGACGCAGTCTTTTAAAAAATAATTTCGCTTATTGTATTTTAAAATTTTCAGCCCTGAAGATGACCCACATGTTTGGGTTGAACGTTGGCACAAATAAAAAATTTAAAAGACTGCGGTCTGAATATTTATCACCCATGAAAATATATTTTAACAGTAATAATAATAAATAAAAGAAAAATTGACCCAAAGGTTCAATATCGATAAAAGACGCTTCTCGCCCTCCACTGAACGCTATCTAAACCTTAATCGATAAGATTATGCTGAAACTAATCCTCCCATCTACGTCTAAAGATTCGATCACCTATGTAATTAGTACATAAATGGAAAAATTATAACCACGAAGCTCTAACATATAGTTAATATGTTAAAGAATCAAGGCTTTACTGTTTTTATTTTTTCAATTATGTCCTAATTAACTTATGTCCCTTTTATTAAATTGTGCGTTAATTTAATGTAATTCATAAGTACTAATCATTGACAACATTAATCATATTAGAAAATGGTAATCAGATCAAAGACTAATAATCAGCTGGTTAAAAAACGGGCAGTAATAAATAGTGGAAAAACTATTTTATTAAAAGCTAACTTTTCGACCCGACTTTGCAGGTCTTTTTCAGGGAGTTGTGTTCAGCTAGGAGTTTCACTTAGAACTCAATTTAGTCAGCTCAATTAATTCAGTTCTAAGTGAAACTCCTAGCTGAACACACCTCCCTGAAGAAGTCCTGCAAAGACGGGTCGAAACGTTGGCTTTTAATAAAATAGTTTTGCCACTATTTAGCCTATTTATGACCGCCACACCGGACCATCTCCTTCCTTAACAATACAATGGTGAACTATTGAGTATTCAATGTATATATATTCCAATTCTAATGAAATATCACAAAAAAAAAAAAACAAGAATTTTTTTTTTTCCTTTTTTTTTTATCATAGTCAAGGAATCTGTAGCATACAAAATGGCGAAAGAAAATAATCCCTTTTCGTGTTAATATACTAAAAAAAAAAACTATGATTAGAACTAATTTTAAGGATAAAAATTAAAGATTTAAAAAAATAAAAAAATCTTCTCAAGTGTAAATTGCTACGTGATTCGCCAGAGCGGGGAGAAATCAGGAATTCTGTTATCTTGTTAGCATTTTACGACACCATAAAATAGCGAAAGCATTCCTACCGCAAGTGACGTCACAAAACATTGTAAAGGAATAATTTAATATAATTGTCAATTTAGCAGAGCGAGGGGCCCTCTCATCCGAAGCAGCAGGTAAATTAAGCATAAGGGAAATAAGTTAGTTTAAACAACTTGCGATTTCATGGAAATTTAACCCCGGGTCTCTCGGGAAACAACGCGATGCCTCCTAAAATAATTGCATAAATTTCGTAATTTCTATATAATCACCAGGAATGGTAATTACGCGAACGAACAATGAACATTATTTATATGAATTATTCCGTATACGCCGGTTATTATAAATTGTTACTTTACTTAATTAATCACTACTGGTTTCTGCTGTAAACAACTCATCACATCATGCAGAATTACTGCTTTTAACTAAATATGGAGGAAAGACAAACAAACAAATATGGAGTTTATTGAAACAAATAAAATGAATCAATTTAACACCGATAACCCGATCTGTGATTCTATAAAAATATACAGTTTCCGCATAGAGAAAAAATATCATCTGGTGCTGTGCGCATCACACAGCTTTCACTTACTACTACCCTCTTCTCACAAGAATTAAGTATTTTAAGACAAAAGGGATTTGAAAGTTAAAATTATAAACGCTATATTGATTTATATTTCATTGTGAGTATTTTAATTTGATTGAATGCCCTTATGTATACAAATTTAAATATTTTTATTGTTGTAATCTATATAATTAAATCGTAATTTTCCGTTACGATCACTAATTTCTCCTTTAGTTAAAATTTTATTTTAATCCCTACTGCAGTTATTGTAAATTACTGGGACTAGAAAATAGGCAGTTTAACTATGTGTTAATAAAAGTTATAATCACAAAGTTCGTAAATAATTTGAAATTATATGGTCCATAAGATTAAAAATCGTAAAAAATATAAATACCAAAGTGATTATAATTTAATTTTTAAAAACGAGTCCTTTTTTCAGTATAAAAGGAGTCCTTTTTCATTTAATATCATAAAAGTATACCATAAAATATGATTTCAAGGTAATATATTCAACATTGAAAATGGTTAAATACATATAATAATAGTAATAATTAAGTAAATAATAAATTTAAAATTACTGCATTTTAGGAATAGGACAATAATAAAATATGACAAGTCTTATGGAGAATAAGATGATGTGTGATACTGGTAAGATTAGCAAAAAAAAATTAAATTATTGTTATTTATAGTTATATTAATAAATGCAGTATTGTTTGTATATAATTGTATTGATAGGGATAATGTTGTAATTTCTAGTTTGAAGATGAGACATAAAAGTGGATCCCGAAACATTATGATGTAATTGAGTGGAATGATTTTGGGAGAATAATCACTGAAAGAAATATTCTTATTTATAAAAGTATTCCTTTTTGATGAAACTTAAAAGTGGAGTTAGAGGAATTCGTAGGACCCTAAGAACGTTACACAACAAGCGTTTATACTACCTTCAACGAACTATAAAATAGTCTCCGCAAATATTTAAGAGAAGAACGCTTTAAGAAAGGTCTCTTTAATCACAGTGGCTAATAGGAGTCCTTTATCATTAAGTATCATACAATTATTTGTACAATGGTATTTTCAATAATAGGAACGGATACCCTATACCTCAGTATTTTTTTTCCACTTTCCTTACTCAGACGCAGTCCGGTATTCTGGCTTTCTCTTAGACCGAAGACTGACATGGAACCCACATACAAGACTCAAAAGAAAAGAACTCAACCGACGATATGGCTAACTACATACACTACTGAACAGAAAATCTCAACTTTCAATTGGCAACAAACTACTGATCTACAAAAAATACTGAAACCTATTTGGACCTACGGACTGGAGCTGTGGGGGACAGCAAAACTTTCTAACATCAAACGCATTCAATCCTTTCAGTCCAAAGTCCTTCGAACAATAGTTGATGCTCCGTTCTATGTTGCCAACCAAACCCTACACCACGACCCTAATATTCCATTTTTCCTAGACCTCATCCCTCGAAAATTTTCCAAATTCCACCAAAACCTTACATATCATCCAAATCCAATTGCACAATCCCTCTAGTACTACTCATCCCTGCAATCCTCCTCGAAGGTTGAAGCGGCAGTGGCCCAGAGACTTGTTGTAATATTGGAGTTCTGGCAATGGCCAGATTCTCCACTCAAGTCATGTATGTCTGGTTATAGTGTCTCTGGTTTAGCCTCCATTGGTAATAACGGTGATGCGGCTGAGTGAAAAACTCTGGGATGATCTAGAGTTCTGCCTTTCCCTCCACGAGTGTGGAACATCTTGAGTGAATGAATATTGTATAAAAGAATGTATGTTTTTAAGTATTTATTTTGTTAGATTAGTTTTTTTTTTTTTTAGTTTAGTATCTTTTAGTTTATATACATTTAGTATTATTTATTGCTGTTTATTACTTTTATTTATTGTGCATAGTATGAATGAGCTACTCTTCATCACTATTACCATTGTCCTTGAATGTGACAGATTGTAACATATCTCAATAAAGAATTTCTTTTTCCAATTTGATCTGAGTGTTTTTAAGTTGTATTTGAAGTTTCCACTGGAAGGAATACAGAAACTTCGCCATTTTACCATGGTTCTATATTAACCATCGCGCAAGAAGGGATCTTCCCAGCCGGGTGATAAACTATCTGTGAAAGGACATTTGCGGTAGCCGCCATTACCGGAACGAGCCCAGCCTAAGTAATTAACGCTGTCCTCAACCCAAATTAATTCCCGCTTAATCGGCTTATAACACGGCTATTGAAAACTCTTTCTTCAGTTATTGTTTCCACCATCCACTTCTAGCTATGCCGCTATTGATTCAACTCAACATTTAAACGCTATCATAATATCCCTGTTGGTTTGTAGAAATACCTCTACGCTTATATTATTATATGTATATTGAAGTATGCGACAAGCTTGCAACCATGAAATAATTGCTGGTGTAAGACATTTTGTAACATCATATCCCATATATAACTAGTTCTCGGCAAACGTACATTTAGAAAATCCATTGCATCGGCAATCGGGAAGGAATGAGAGACCTTGTCATGATGATTACGGCCTCGTCCTATTAAAGTGATGATTACTCGATTGAAAAAAAAAACACCATCACTCACTATTGATTTAATTTTTAATCAAGGTAATTGCAGAGGGAAAAAGGCTCCTCAGTTTTAATTCGAAATGTTGCCATCACCTGGCAGCTGTAGTAGATACTTACGAAATATGTGCATTTACTTTTTATTATTTATAAAATGTAAATTATATTCACATTGTTACTTATATCTTACACTATTATAAAACCTTATGTTATATCGACAATCTGATTTGATATTATCAACAAAATATGCGGTTATTGTAACTGACCATTAAATAAGACAATATAATTAAAATATTAGACAAATTTAGAGACGGGGATATCTGTTGACTATTATTTGTTACTGAAAGATTAGACAAGTGGGAAAATTAATTGCTCCCTTTTAGAGAAGGCCTATACAGACATGAAGTACAATCTATATTAATAAAAACGTAAATGTTCGTTTATTCAAAACCGCTTATCTCCGAAACTTCTTCACCGATCTCGCTTTGAAATATTGACATAATGTTTCTATCGCTATCAGGAGTGTTTTATATACATTTAATCACCCTCCGATCTTTCGTTTCGGAATGGCGACCCAAAAACCTGTGTCGCTATAGACTGTAGCACCTAAACGGCTGTAAAGATTTTAATTAAACTTGGCTAAAGTCTTCTCCTTGAAGCCCTTTTAATATATGTATCCTTTCCCGAAAAGTTTATGAAAAAAAAAGTTATGATGGGTTCAAAACTATATTCGCGAATAACTAAAAAAAGAACACAGATTTTGTTTCATTATACCCGTCATTATTTGAAAGCTATCTTGATTCCCTGCAAATGAAAAAAAAAAAAAAAAAACACTAAAATCGGACTATTTGGTAGTAGAGATATAATGCTTTTTAGTAATTTTTCGTGGAAGATTTAGAGACCGATTGCTTCTTATTTTTTTTTTTTTTTTTTTTTTTTTTTATTGAATAATAATACAATCAGCCCTGTTGGAGGGCTATAAGTATTAAGGCTAAAAGTTCTCATTCATACAGTATATACAAGTAATACAGAAGTAACTATAAATATAAAAGTAAATATATAATACCTATAAAAAAAATGTAAATCAATAGAAAAAAAATAAAATAAAAAAAAAAAATAAATAAACAAAATAAAATAAAAACTTCTAACACATTCATACCTATATACATTCGCCCAGGAATCTCCGAGCCAGCCTTTTCTCCCACATGTGGAAAGCAAAGCAGGACTCCAGAGATCCCAGTGCCACTTTTCCAGCCGCATCACTAGTATTAAAAGCCAGTGGAGGCTGAAGGAGGGCACTAGAGCCACAGATGCTCAGGACTTGAGTGGAGAAGCTGGCCATTGCCAGGACTCCAGAAGCATATTTACAATAGATCTCGCGGCCACTGCCGTTTTAACCTTCGAGGGGGAGGCTTCTTATTTAGACTATACAAGGAATGGAACAACAAATAATATCGCATATTCACAATATTGTTAGACAAAATATATAAGAAACCTCTAATTTCTTTTTTACTTCTTTTTTTAATTAACCAGAATGAGGCACAGCAATGCGTGGCCGGGTACAGTTAGTAATGTATATATTCTTAAATAGATCACTAATAGTAAAAAATTGAGATCTGTTCGATAATATGGTATGTTTATACCGTATATATTTCGCATAATGAACGATATTATTATTATTTGTTTCTTTCTCAGATTTCCGGAATAGCATCCACTTCCCGCAAAAAAAAAAAAAAAAAAAAAAAAAACCTCAAGGTAATGTAGATGGACGCTTTTACTTATTTAGAAATTTTCTTAAAATCCTGCAAGTATCAAGCAGGACTACTTTTTGTATTGAATTTAAGTACACCAAATCTATTCCGAGATCTTGGGTGCCATCTATTATACTTTTCAATATTAGACCATTTGATGATTATTGTAGTCATTTTTTAAAAATGGTATAGATACATCCTATCAAATCACCTTTACCCTTCGTCGTAAAACTATGACTTCCTATTATACAGTATCCTTTAATAACACACCCGACCTATCCCTGTAGAACAAATTCGATAGATAACACTCCACCTGGACAAATGTTTCACTTGGAATCCACATACAAGACTGAAACGACAAAACTTCTAAAATTCCAATTAATAACGAAGGACTCATATACATGACTATAATAGGACCTATTTGGACTTACGGAGTAAGCTATGGCGCTCCATTAAACCATCAAATTCCTCTCGTATCCAATCCTTACAATCCAAAATCCTTCTTCAAAAAGATCCTTACTTTATCACAAATAAAATAATCTATTAAGACTTTAATGTTCCATATGTTTCCGATTAGGCCCAATCCAGATACACATCCTTCCATAATTAACTTCATAACCATCCGAATCCTTTTGTTTCTAACTTTGCTTCCTCTTAGATTTCCGATAACGGAACTGAAAAGAAGATGTGATCGTGATCTCCTTATGTAGACATATTAATAGAGTGCTACCAATGGGTAGTTTCTCAACAAGAGTCTCCATGTGATTATATTCCTCAGTACACATTTACTGATGTATTTATACTAATACACTTGTAAATCTTATAAATAAAAATATATGTTATTAGACTTGCCGACGACACGGGTCATCATCAGAACAATAAATTAATTAAAAATATTACATCAGAATACTCGAATAAAATACATATAAAATTACATAAATAAGTCAAGAAAAAAACTACAATTGATTATCGAGGAAAATTCTTCAAAATACCGTTTCCATCTTACTTTAGAACCATGTGACCTATCTTATTCCTTTTTTTCTTCTCTCTAAGCCCTACCTTAATATTTCTGGCATATGGGGAAGCGAGTCATTCTAGAAGTACAAAACAATTCTAACCATAGTGGGGATGTCGAGATTCATTCCAGGGGCTCTCATAATGTAAATTTCAACCCGCCCAGGACGGATTCGAATCGCCGCTGTTCGAATCGATAACAATAAATCGGGCAACGCTGCTTTAATACGGACGTCCACAAAACCAGAAACCCTAGCGCAATAACCCAAAAACAAGTTTTTCTACAGGAGAAAAATGCAGCTCCAACGACTTTGAACAAATTTGTCTCGTCTTCTGCTTGAAGCAACTAATCTTTTATAAAATTGTTTATGGCTTCACCATACGGTTCCTCTACTAAACAGAAAATATTTAATTCAGAAAAATAATTTTAAAAACTGCCATGTTTTTCAATTAACACCTTGGCTGCGGACGGGTTCAATTAACATCTTCCCGTTAGGAGTTGGGTCACCTGTGCGGACGATATACCTGTCTTCGCGGCCGGCGGTAGGATCCCTGGGGCGGCCGGGACACATGTCTTCCCGCCTCGGTTATGGCCACTTGTAGTGGTAAAGGAAATTCCCGCTTCCACCGTTTAGCTTGTGGCTTGATACCTGCATTCGTTAGTCCTCTGGCTCACAATCAGTTTTGTTGTTCCGGTTTCCGACCATTTGTTGGAAGCTATCAGTTGCAGATTTATTCTGAATCCAAAATTAAATAAATATGTTTTAAATGCATTTTCGAAAGCTAATATCATTCAGGGTGACTCAAAATAGTATTTTAAACAAAGAAACACTCGTTATGAGGTCTCGTAGCAGTAAAAGGATTAATAATTTTTCATGTATACACAGTTTATGTGTATGTTAGACAAGTCTGGTAAACGAATGAGAATAAGGTATTCTCCAAGGTTAATGGCTCAATTTTAAATGATTTTATTTAATATATATATATATATATATATATATATATATATATATATATATATATATTTATTTATTTATTTATTTATTTGATTACAAAACAGGATGTTTCGTAATAGTTAATTTTTTTATTTTTCAAAAGAGATTCTGTGGATGGTTTCCGCTTCCGTGCGCACAATAGTGGCGTATCATCAGAGCTCATTAGAGTGACTCTAGGTAGTTACTCGAACCGCCCGCGTCACGAGAGAGTTTTCTCCAACAGAATCTCTAAAGCTCGAAGTAAAACAAGAACGAGGTATCACAATCAGAGACGAGGAGTATCATTAACCCGTATTCACTTCAATTAACAATCCTACGGTATTTTTCCATTGGCAATGATGGTAGAGGAGACCGCAGGATCGAGGACAGAGATATAAGCAATAATGAGCCAATGCCGCTCGCTCATGCTTGGTCATTCAACCTCGAGGATACTTACAAAGAAAAGAACTCAATAACGGTAAGAAACACAAATACTCGAAAGAGTACCGAAGCATGCCTTGCACCATATTCATCCAAAACATATATACATATATATCCAATGATATATCATACATCGTAATTCCTAATTGTCACCAGGATTCTGGATTCTACGTACCTACTTCTAATCTGAATCCTCATTGGATGTCGTTTTTTCAAAAATTATTTTAATCAAATATCAGATTTGCCAATTTCAAGAAAATGTTGCTGTAACATCGAAACCTTATAAAAACCTTAAATATGCAATTTCACTTTCATACGACTTTTCGTTTTTGAGCTAGACTGATAACACACACATACGCACGCACAGACCATTTTGCGGGACTTGGTTATTTGTACTCAGGAGACATCAAAACCTGTATTTCCGTTGAAAACTCAGACTCGAAAATATTCACGATTGCAAAATTTCATATATAGGTAAGTTAAAGTAAAAAAAATGTGATTGAACTAAAAGGATATTCTTCTTAATTTCAAGAATAATATGCAAAAATCTACGCATTATAAGAAAATTTCATTTTCGAACCCAAAATCCGCCAAAACGAACGATTCACGCTTCTTTTAAAATCGTTCGAGATTAAAAAACTATGACCAATCCTTTATTTTCCGTTAGTTTTTACAATGAGTGTGGCTAAATTGCTCTTGCTCAATCTCCACTGGCTTTAGCACTAGTGACACGGATGAAAGAGTAGTGCAGGGATCTCTTGGAGTCCTGCTTTTCCTTCTATAGTTGGAGGGACAAGCCTGGCTTGGAATCCCCTGCCTGATTGTATATATTGTACATAGGTATGACTGTGTTTTTTAAGTTTTTAATTTACTTATCTTTAGGGTTATTTCATTTTTTTACTGTACATAGTTTTTTATTATTATTTTACTTTTGTTAATTTTGTTTTCTGTATATATGGTGTAAATGTGTTCATATCTCACTATAATTATTGTCCACGTGACAGACTATTATATTTATAAATTAAAAAAAAAAAGTTTTTACAGATCCTGTAACATCTCTTACAATTTTACCCAGCTTTCTCCATATCTGCCTCTTGTAGACTACTGCTTTCCCTATCCGTGTAATATTTGGTCTTCAACGAGGTCTCTTGCCTACGATTATGGCATTCATTGTTGTTCAGAGGCTTCCTGGTGGATTACTCCGAGCTATAAATGCACTTTGATTAGGCTCCGTGTCTTCATATCATGAAATAATAATTGAACAGTATCTGTAAGCAGTTCTTTATTGGCCCTTCTCTTTCATTTGTATTACTCTGATTCCAGGTCGCTCCGTTTATCATGCAGAGAATTTTCCTCTCAAATTTTCCAATTCTCATACAAATCGCATACAAGTTTTTCTTCCATATCGTTCCGATACTAAGAATTCATATAGCAACGACCAGAAATAATATAATCATAAATGGTGGTTCAGGATTTCCGGTGAGTCCAAAATATATAGATATGCAATGCATTTATTATAGATTTCCTCATGCTCTATTCGAATTTTGATATCTTTCTTCTTACTCGTCGTTCGTTTCAAATCGTAGGTTCCACTATTATAGCCTTTCCTTTCGCACTAAACACCAAGATGTTTATGAATCTTGCTGAGCCTTCCGTATTTATGCAATCAACTTTAATGAAGCATCTAGGCTTTTATTTCTCCAAGAATTTGACTATTCGATGATTTCCATTTTTTCGCCATTGGGTGACGAGATATTATTCTGATATTTGCACCAATGAGTTGGTGTTTCTGACTCTCGGCCACATTTGCGGCAGAGGGGGTCTACTGCGCTTAAAAATAATTATTTTTACGTAAGTTTTAATGAGATTACAGTATAGCATAACACTACAGATTCGTTAAGGTACAGTTTATGCAACCAGTGCTTTAACTTTTGGGAGGCACAGACGGAACGAGTGAACAATGAGGAGGAAGATAAAGAACAAAGTGATAATTAATATATTAATGTTAAGTAATATTTTCGAGTGATTCTTCTGAATAATTCAGGAGTATATATAATCTCAGGAATGTTATTCAGAAATAAATGTATCCATTTAGGAATAAATCACTATTCCTTATTATCAATATCCTCATAAATTCAATAGCACAATAATTAGTTGAGGTTCGCAGAGTCGGGATTTGATATTATTGAGCCTGTCAGAGGAAACTTTACGCAATTACATAGCAGTCCCCCTACCTCTGCTGTAATTGGCGGTTCCCAGATAAACAATATATTCAAATATCACGGAAATTTCAACGTATATATATTACTCCAAATATCGCATAGATTATTATTTGCTTGCCTTGTATTTGTACCTGCACGATTCCCAGTTGAGGATTCACGCAAATATTATCATCAAACACTGCTCTTTATCATGCAGCTTGTGGACAGGATATGTATTTACATTCAATAAAATAATTAATAAGTATATATATAATGAATTATTATACAATAAAATTACAGCCTTCAGAGAGTAAGTAATGCATTACTCAATTTACAAATTTTAAGAAACTGTCCTCAGAAAGTTACTCAGAAATAACTGCATTCAAGTTTTTTTTTTTTCTTTTCAAAATTCGAAATGAGATAACTTCCAATTAGAAAGCGCATTCCAAGGTCGGATACAATCATACCACTGCAGCCAACTTGACCCACATTAACATAAACGTATTCCGTCACCGCAGATCCGTTTATATCCTCATAAATAACTACATAGTGCGTGCAATAGGACACGTCGGTGTATATAGTATATGTATACATATAGTATGTATGTTTGTATCTAATTCTCTCTCTCTCTCTCTCTCTCTCTATATATATATATATATATATATATATATATATATATAATATATATATATAAATTTATAGAACTACATTAAATAAGGAGAGTTAAATGAAGTAAATAAAATACCTTACGTAAACAAATAAAATATCCAAAAACAACCAAATATAGTACAAAATGTTCAAAACTATATACAGTACTATACGAAATGAAAATAACCACTGCTTAGCAAAGAAAATAAAGAAGATAGGAAGGAAACCAGTAATATTTTCTTCTTTAATAGATGAGCACCATACTTTAATAACGTAAAGTAAAACAATAAAGATTTATAGATTCTTACTTCGTAAAAATTAAAACATATATACAAATTGTTTAAGTTAACATTAGCTCAAGTTCATATAGAAGTATAACTGGAATGTGATCGGTATAAAAGTTTTAATGAAGAACGTGAGTTTTACTTTTATGTTTAAGCCAGCAGAACACCTATCCTCTTACCGTCCTATCTTTCTTTTACCCATCATGGGAAAAATCCTGGAAAAATTCATCTTAAAACGCCTATATCCCATCCTAAATCCTAATCACATGATCCCAGACAACCAATTTGGATTCCGTACTTCCTATTCCACTATACAGCAATGTTATCGTGAGGTAGACGGAGTCTCCTCAACATTGCAGCGCTCAATGTACAGTACGGGAGTCTTTCTCGACGTTGAACAGGCGTTTGATAGAGTTTGGCACCCGCGACTGCTGTACCAATTCCAAAAAATCATACTTTGTTACAAATAAAATAATGATGACCTTAATGTTCCTTATGTTTCAGATTATGCCCAATCCAGATACATATCCTTCCAGAATAAACTTCAGAACCATCCCAACCGCTTCTAACCTTGCTTACTCTTCAATTCCTGATAGCCCTCCGAGGCGTCTGAAAATGTAGACATATTATTAGAGTGCTACCAGTGGGTAGTTTCTCAAGTGTTTTCACATCATTATGTCAATTTGTACAATTTTACTAGATGTATTTCTCTTATACAGTTGTAAATATAATTAATAAATAAAATTTTTTTTTTTTTTTTATTGATGATATTTACAACTGTATTACAAGTAAAAATACATTCAGTAAATGTGAACAAAAGAATATAATAGCATGAAATCATTTGTTGAGAAACAACCCACTGGTAGCACTCTAAAAATGTATTTACAAAAGGAGATCTCGAGGCCATCTTCTTTTCAGACGCCTCGGAGGGCAAACAAATAAAAAATAAAATAAAAACTTGTATGTTTGACGACAAAAAACGACCAGTACCATTATAATTCAAATAATATAAAATAAATTATTTCTAATAGATATTACTATTATTAAAATTATGAACAAACGTTTTTATATAGTTTACTGATAAAGAAGAAAATTACCTAACAAATTTGGAAAATAAATGCAGCCTGCCTATACAATTCTAAACGGGGAAGAGGAGTGAAAAAGGCCGGAGATGACTGGTATGGTATGCAAGGGGCTCAACGATGATGAGGTAAGGCAAGCAGACAATAGGATCCTGGGGTGCCCCACCTAAGGAAACAATACCTCTCCTCCTAACAACAAAATACGAATGGAAGTGTCGATTGCATATACCTCTATATAATACAACTGAGCTGGATTAACGTCACCATTATCAATTTACGTTTAATTACATATAACAAAACATCCAATTATATAAACTACGAGTTATTGGAAATATAGAGGACGTGACGGCCGAGAAAGGTAGTGCGTGGGTCCCACATTGACCGGTTTTAAATGTTGTCGGTTCGATTCCCACCTGGGTCAGTTAATATCCATTTCTCCAGTTGTCATGAAAAATTAATCTTGATACTCCCATTCTCTCAAGTACGCGGCGGGAACCTCAAGGTAACCGTCATGTGCTTGCAAAAATGGACCATAATGTCCACTTGTCGGACTAGTTACCCCACCAATACCAGAAACTAGAAACATATTTCATACAATATATTATGAATAGCTTAGTAAGATTTGTCGAAGGGACCACGAGACGTTGTCGTGTTTCTCACTACTATCCCTAAT